GATTTGCGTTTTTGACCTGTTTTTTTTACGTCAATGTTTGATGTCAATTTGACGTCTTTTTGACATCAATTGCCCACCTACTGTATTTAACCCAAGTCTTTGATTTAACTCTACCCACAGATCATCGTCAGATAAGGTGAGCCCTCATTTGCTACGTGTTATGAGCCTGAGTCATTTGTTCATTGTTTCCATTCTGTCCTCTTGTGTTCTCTCTGAATCTGAATCAGAATCAGAAAGAGCTTTATTGCCAAGTATGCTTGCGCATACAAGGAATTTGTTTTAGTGACATAAGCTTCCAGTACACAGAGACAACAACAACAGACAGACAAAAAAACAAAAAAAAATACACATATGTAAATATAAATAGACAAATATTGAAAAATAAATCGAAAAATAAATAAATTGTATGTACAGTTGTGCTATAGATGATAGAATGGAATAGAATAGAATGAGATGCAGGGATGTACTTAGGATGGAGGTGGTAACAAATAAATATAAGATTATTGCACATTTTTATTGCATAAAGTGGGGAACAAACAACTGTTCATGAGGTAGATTGCCTATGCAGGGATGTACTTAGGATGGAGGTGGTAACAAATAAATATAAGATTATTGCACATTTTTATTGCATAAAGTGGGGAACATTTAACTGTTCATGAGATAGATTGCCTGGGGGAAGAAACTGTTCTTGTGATGGCAAAAGTTCAAAAAGGGGATAACTTGGATGTGAGGGGTCCAGAGTTATTTTCTGAGCCCTTTTCCTCACTCTGGATGTATACAGTTCTTGACGGGTGGGCAGTAATCCTTTCAGCAGTCCGAACCGTTCTCTGTAGTCTTCTGATGTCTGATTTTGTAGCTGAACCAAACCAGACAGTTATTGAAGTGCACAGGACCGACTCAATGACGGCTGAGTAGAACTGTGTATGTGCATGTTTGTGTTACAGGTGGGCGATTCCATGTGATCATTTGCTGGAGGCTGCGATTGGTTCTCCTCCTCACCTGATCCAGATATAAGGACCGCCCCAAACACTCAACGGGGGCCATTATTGTGCCATCGTGTGTGATTTTGTAGCTCGTTGCCTTTGCTCAGGGGTGCCGCTAGCAATTTTGGGTAGTGGTGGGCAGAGCGAGGCTTCGTGAAACACTGAAATAGTCGAAGCAAATGTGCCGAGGCTTCGAAACAATTCGAACCCCGTCTCTACGGTGACACCTAGTGGTCATTTTCAAGTATTGCTCTGAAACAGTATTGACAACGAACCAGTTAAGCGAATTGACAAATTATAACGTATATGTTGTGCTCGACTGGCATGTCAGAGCCTGTCACCTTAGGTTCGAATCCTGGGGGAAGTTATAATAAGCATTTAAAAGATGTGTTTTTATTGTTCTGTTGTAACATCTCTCTGATAACTGAATGAACTCTTTGTGAATAAATATGTTATTTTGGTCATGAAAAATGAACATTAATAAAAGGCATCAAGCCACAACGTCTGACATTTTGTACATATAAAGATTTTTATTTAAAAATATTAATTGTTCTGCTGCATTAACTCCACTTTTATACTTTGTGAGAGTTAGGTTAAGATAGATGTGCGTTTGTGTGGTTTGTTCCCGACCCTGTCAATCAAATGCAGATTCGTCAGGTATACCCATCTCCAAACACTTGTGAAGCGTAGTCACGTGACATGGGTGTTTCGAATCACACTTCGGAGCAGTGTATCGAAACATCTGCGCTTCGGGATCTCGACACCGTGTTGAAACGTCAGTTTCGCATCAGCCATCCCTAATTTTGGGCCCTATGAAAGAAAATGAGGTTGGGCACCCTACCGCATCCATTCCGCACCAAACATACAAGCCAGCCTAGATATCCAAAATCTTTGTCTGCAATTTAATAATAGGCTACTGACCTATTACTTTTGCTATTGCTTTTGACCACTAGGTATCAGTATTTAGTCAGAGACATACCCATAGGAACATATTTTATCTGGGGGTGCTGATGTTGAAGGCCGGGGCTGCGGTGGGGGATTTTAAACAAAATCCTAATATTAAACAGCCCAAACACTTATAAATGAACATACAAATTAATGAAGACAGAGTTATATGAGCACGAATATATATTTGTGCTTTTGTGATTTTAGCTCAATAATATAATTTTATCTTTAATATTTTTATTAAAATAAAAATTGTACTAAATATTAACCCTTTAAATTATGCACCATTTATCGTCTGCAATATCAGGATGTAACCTCTAGATGGCTGTATAGCCCTATATATAAATGCATATAAACCGTTTGCTGCAGAGTGAGAACTAGGCATGGGCGATACCTCTTATTTTATTTTCGATCCGATACCGATATTTTCAAGCCCAGTATCGTCGATACCGATACTGATACCTCTAAACTAATCTGATCTTTTAAATTATTAAAAAATATATAATCAGTAATTATACTCACTTAATATTAGATTTTAAAGCCATGTTTTTTTAACATTTCATAGGCCTTTTTTTGTTTACACTGTCAGAAATAAAATATACTATAATTGTATTTAGCCCTTTAGGGCAGTAACCTCAAAGGTGCAACTATACCCCTAAAAGGGAGCATATTAGTACCATACAAGTATGCATGAAAATGCACTTTAGAATCTATATTTTTATGTGAGGATCGATCCTTCTGATACAACATCAGCATCGAAAGTATCGATACTTAAGGATCGATCCGCCCATCCCTAGTGAGAAATTAAGAGTGACATAAAGCACGTACGTTACTTGTATCAGGTTATTCATTGACATATTTTCAGACATTATTAAAGACTACATTTCGTAAAAGGTGAAATTTAAATCTTGATTTTAAGTGTCAGTTATTATTATTGTAGTCAAATCTAGACAGAGAAAGCATTTTGTTAGGCTAGGCTACTCATACTAGCTATAGTGTGATCAGTCACAAGAAAGTCATCAGAATAAATATTGGGTCAGTGTGACCAGGGCAATATTTTAAAACATAGAATTGAGTGTTTAAATACCATGAACAGAGACGTTCTGTGTGGTTACTGCAGTTTTAAACACAAATACTGTCAACCATACTGTAATAAAACCATGGTTAATTTTTGTAAAAGGCTGCCAGGCTGTTGTACCCCTAAAGGTGGAACTTTAGCATATTTTTCTGACAGATTTATTAACAGCAATTACAGAACATAACACAATCCATTTGAACTTTGACATAAAGCTTGTATCAGGTATATTGCATACTTGTATCAGGTTATTCATTGATATATTTTCAGACATGATTAAAGACTACATTTAGTAAAAGTTGAAATTTAAATGTTGATTTTAAGTGTCAGTTATTATTATTGTAGTCAAATCTAGACAGAGAAAGCATTTTGTTAGGCTAGGCTACTCATACTAGCTATAGTGTGATCAGTCACAAGAAAGTCATCAGAATAAATATTGGGTCAGTGTGACCAGGGCAATATTTTAAAACATAGAATTGAGTGTTTAAATACCATGAACAGAGACGTTCTGTGGTTGAGATGTGTATCCTATTTGAAAAAAATCTGCATCGCAATCAGCAACTGGTAAATTGAGATTCCAGTAGCTTCACTGGCATGGTAAAAAGTGTTTACAAAGCATTGACAGCGCTTCAAAACAATGGTGTTGAGCATTATCAAATTTAGAGGCTACAATTCATAGTTTTCAGACTGGCTTGAAGACCTGGCGGGCAAAACATCCATAGAATTGCAGCACAAGCGTGTCAACTTTCCATTTGTTTCCAATCCACAAATATTTAGATCTTTTGACTTATACATCTTCATCGAACTCGAAGACATCTCTAATTTGACAGTTTGATTTTGCCGGAAATGCAAAAAAAAATCCGTAATTTTGTTTTATTTGTAACTGTTTGGTAGATACATTTATAATTTCTATTGCATTACTACTAGTAATGTTACTGCTAATAAAACAGATCTCTGAGGGCCCCAAAAGTGCGTGGGCCCTTAGAATAGTCCTAACTAACCCCCCCCACCCCCCTTAGCGGCGTCCCTGGGTATAGCCAAAATAGTCTTAAAATGGTTTACACTAATAGATTGCATTTCCATTTGTTTTTCAAACCTATGTCTTCAGAACACTTGGAATATACAGGTGCATCTCAATAAATTAGAATGTCGTGGAAAAGTTCATTTATTTCAGTAATTCAACTCAAATTGTGAAACTCGTGTATTAAATAAATTCAATGCACACAGACTGAAGTAGTTTAAGTCTTTGGTTCTTTTAATTGTGATGATTTGGCTCACATTTAACAAAAACCCACCAACCCATCTCAACAAATTAGAATCAACTCAAAACACCTGCAAAGGTTTCCTGAGCCTTCAAAATGGTCTCTCAGTTTGGTTCACTAGGCTACACAATCATGGGGAAGACTGCTGATCTGACAGTTGTCCAGAAGTTTTTTTTCAGATATCCCATTCTTATAACCCTCAAAAGAGGAAGCGCTTGGACCTTAGGAGCTTTGAACCTTACAGGAAAAAAGTAGAACTGAATGCAAAATAATGTGAAAGGGCCTGATTGTCACACCTTCCACTGCCCCACAGCTCCTAGTGTGAATGTATCGCTGGCACTGCCAGTAACGTTGGGCCACTATGTGTCTAAAAATAAAGAATAAAACAGGAAGTATGGTGCGTAACAATTTATTTATTTTCCCAAGCAGTTCATGAAACCATTAAAAATATTGTCATCCAAGCATAAAAAAAATGAGAAGTTAATCACAAATTATCAAAAAACATTGTAGTTCACACAGCAATAAGCCCATCTGGTCATAATGCCAGATGTTTCTGAAAATAAAACCTTTAATTTTACTGGAGGCTACTTTCAAATTTCAACAAGTCCCTATTTATGATTATAATCACCAATAAAACACATTTAAAGGTACACATTTACTCTGCCCTGCAAGAGTTTACTAATTTGTAAGCATTCTGTTTTTTTAAAGAAAAAGCAAAAGGCAGCATATGAATGACTCCATTTGAGCATTGAAATGTATCTTCAAAAGCCTCTGAATCTAACTGCTAAATCAGTCAGCTTTAATGCATTCGTCTATGACTGTTTCTCCACAAGAGTTACAACCCTCTTTGTTACAGCGGTAAAGTGGCACACGCTGAGCAATCTTCTTTAGTTCCTTTTGCAGATTTTTATGGTTTTGGTCATTTTTAAAGATATATGTGTAAACAAAAGCTTTAATTCCCTGGTATGCCTTTAATTCATTAAGACCTTTTATAATAATATCGCTATTAAGACATTTGTCTATACAGGGAGAGTTTAAGGTGTAGAAAATCACACATCCATCCTTTTTTTTATTCATTAAGTGTGTCAAAGGAGATTTGTTTGGAGGATTCATCAGTAAATACTCTGAATGTGCATCTTTATGACGCCCTGCAGCGATGAGTTCAGTGCCTTTGTAGACAACCTTGCTGTCAGGTTTTATGTAAGGTTTAACTTTTTCTGATTTGTCATTCTTCAGAAAGGTGCTTTCTGATGGATTGAAACCGCTTTGACACTGCTCTTTTGGGACATTTATGGCTACTGCATACTGGCCGTTTTCATAACTGGTTAAAAAAAGAAAAGAATTATCACCATTTACATATGCAAAATAATTAAAAAATCAAACATGCATGCAGCGCCTCTGTGCAACAGTGCAAACTTTAATGGTAGGACAAACATGATGTGTTGATATGTGTGTTATATTTTTTGCAAGCATACAAAAATATATTTGTGCTAGGAACACATTTTAGGTATGAATATGAATACTAGTGAGATCACATTGTCATTGTTATCTACAGTACATAATGCATATACTAATGTTGACAAATACAAACTTATTGTACAGTGTTACCCCTTCATTTTATTCAGCATCACGAAAACATACCTTTTACGAAAAAATTTTACAATCCTGGCAAGGGTGTTAATGTCCACATTCTCATTCACCACACTCTGAATACAAGAAAGCAAAATAATCCCGAGAAGGAACCTCAAATGCGCAGTGAAAACCTTAAATGAGTAAAAACATAAAATAATAAACAGACATCATTTTCCTCTATGTAGTTATTAGCATAGTCACAATCTGTCATGTCCCCTTCTCACTCTCCTCTCTGTCACTTCTACTGTCCTGTCAATTACTATCACTAAAATTACAAGAGAGTAAAATAAAAAATTTAACAATTGTAGTAATGCTGCTTACCATGATGACTGTCGTAGATTCTAGAGAAGATGCCGTGAACTGAGCTCCTCAAAGATGATGTGTGAAGTCTGTTATGGTGTGAGAGTTGTGAACTGGAGAAACAAACTCATCACATTTATTCTGCCCTTCTAGCGCCATCTATAGTGATCATTTCAGCATACCCATCCAGCATACCTACCCTGGTGACTTTAATAACCCATTTTCATGTTAGAATAAAGCAACTTATTCTCTCACAAAAGGTTTTTGTGTCGACACACTCATGGTTTTCTCTTAGAGTACAATGAATCAAATTGTAGGAACATCCTTTAACATCTACTACTGTATTCACAAACACAAGCACAAAGAGACGCACATGCTATTTCAGCATGATTTGTTTGGCCATGTGCAAGCAGCAATTGTGATCAATATTGCAATGTGTTGCAATGCCTTGCGGTCTGTTTGACATTTAGCTTTGTTTATGCAAATGGCCTGGCAGTTTTTTTAAACCAGTTATTAGAGTCATGTATGATCACAGATGCGATGAGACATGCACTGCAAGTATTCAGTCACATTCAGCTTCAGCTTATGTGTCAAAGGGTCAAACGTGTGGAAAAATATATATATTTTTTGTATCTTTCACTGAATGTGTGAGCAAGGTAGCAGAAGCAGCCACTGTTTGCTGTGTTGCATAGTTATTTAGGAGAAAATACTGTGTAAATCTGTCATTGGTTTACTCTAGCAATAACTGCCATCTTAGCAAGCATGCAATATCACATTTATGCATATTTTATTTGCCAATGTTAATGTTTACTGCAATTAACACTACTCAGCTAAATAAAGCATAAGCATTACTTTTCTTACAGCGATCACATTTATGTTTGTTCTCCTCACACTGATTATACGGCAAAGCAGGTGCAGTTTTCTTTGGTCTGTTTATCACCTCCAACTTTTCATTCTCTCTCCAGATTATTTTGAATGCAAAGGCTTAAATTCCTTCATATTTTTCTAACATTTCAGCCTTTAATGCTGAATAACCAGAATTCTGATACTTACTGAACATTCTCAAAGTTTTTGAGAATGAGTTTTTGAGTTTTTGGGCTCACAGTTTGACCGAATGCACAAGTGCAAAAACGAATCAGGCCGATCAGGGGGATCCTCTGTTGTTCAGCAAAAACCTGAAGCAAACACACACAAATACAAACACTCATATACAAAATATGTACACAAAGAGCACACAAAATCATTCTGCCTGGTAAAAAAAAAAGTCTTATTGTACACATTTTAAGCCCTCTTTTCAACAAGACCAATTTTCCAAACAACATGAGCAGTTTGTGATGCACAATAGGCTTTTAATCTTTATACACAAATCGTTATGCATTCATCTTTATACATTTTCCTACTAAATTGTTGGTGATGTATAAAGTTTATTCCACAACGTTCATGCGCAAGCACCATAAGTACAGTTTAGGTTGCGTGTTGCATGCTAAATTAGCAACAAAAATAAATAAATAAAAATAAAATAAAACAAAATATAATAAATAAATAAAAAGTCAAAATGCACTTCAAACCTATTTATCCACACACTTTTTGCTCATTCTTTAATGTCATGAGGCTTCACAAAAGCCTCTGTGCAAGTTCAGAGATGATATGTGAGCAGGAGTGATGAGGAAGAGGAAGTAGATTGTTTTTTCTTCTAACACTTGACCAGCTCTCTTCTTCAACGCCTTCACACTTACTTCACACTTAATTACTGACTCCTTTAACCCTGTAAAGACTGACATATGAAATAATACTCAGAAACATCTATCTTTTATTAGAGTGATTTATTGAACCTTTAAGCAAAATATGTATTAAGAAATAACTTGAAAAAATAATTTGAAAAAAAACATTTTGAGCATCATATTTGATAGAATATGGAGCTCAAACTCGAGAAAGAAAAAACAGCTCAGTTTTACCCAGAGGCCCATACTGACCAAAAATATTAAATTTGTTGCAGATTCTGGTGCTTAGCCTTTATCAAAAAGATGAAATTCTGATGACTGTAATGTAAATCAATGGGTTTACTTAGTATAGCATTACTTACATAAAATGATATAAATATCAGTCGTCAAAAAAATGCTTTAGTAAGATGATATTTAAATACTTCGTTTAATTTATAAGTGTTCATCTTGAAGTATTATTCTAACTTATTCTTACGTTTACTTTATAAAAATTAATACAGATTTCACAGCAAAAAGACACGAGAACCACGACCTAACGGTGGATGTTTTTACAATTACTAAAAGGCCTTTTATTGCTAATAAAACAGTATGAACTATCAATCAATCAGGTGACAGAAGGCATGTAGTACATTATGTACAACAGGGTTTTTTTTAGCAAAGTTTTGATCATGTTGATCATTAAAAGGCTTTAGAAATTTCCGTCAATATCACATGATCCAGAAAAAAAGAAATATCAAATATGATACAGTAGCTTTATTTGATTAATAATACCATTGAGCACCTTTGTTTATCTCGCCATGTTGTACTTCCTCAAAATGGTCAAGAACCTATAACTTCCTGCAAAGACTCTCCTGGGTTCCATCAGTAACCACCGCATAAGAGAAATATACACTTACAAACAGAGTGCATACATTCCAATATATGATGTGAAAATCCAAGAAAAAGAACTGGTGCCTGATATCTTTTTAATTTTTACAGCTCATAAGAATAAAATTTGGCAAAAAAAATGGATGGGAGTAATGTCAAAGTTATGATAAATAAAATACACACTAAAGGAACAATGGTATCACTTTCATTTCAGCATTCATCCATTCATTAATTCATTTATTTATGCATGTCAATAACATACCTGATGCTGACTGTAATGAAATATGATTTAAAATCGTGCTGTGGGTCTTGTGCAAACAGCATTTTTAAGTACATTTCTGTTATTATCTGTCACCAGTGTTGGGCAAGTTACTTCCAACATGTAATATATTGTATATTACTTATTACTGTCTTTTGAAAGTAATGAGTTACATTACAATATTACTGTCTCTGAATTGTAATGCGTTACACTACATTTGAGTTACTTTATATGTTTGGTTGACTGTATATTATTCTGATAATGAACAGGCTGCAACGTTTGCAATGCTGTATTGTGTGTGCGTGAGGCGCCTTCGAGATCAAACAGCGGAAAATACTCCGTAATTTTTGGTCATACAGATCATTCGAAACTGCAATGTGTTGACTTTTATTTTAGGATGCGCTTTCTGTCACCTCGGTTTCCTTTCCATGAACTTTTTTGTAGAGCGCCACGCCACACAAAAATGAACCAAACTCAGCAGCATATACACTCAGTCTTTTCCTTTCGTTTTGTTAAAGGGGTCATATGATGCGATTTCAATTTTTCCTTTCTCTTTGGAGTGTTACAAGCTCTTGGTGCATAAAGAAGATCTGTAAAGTTGCAAAGACTAAAGTCTCAAATCCAAAGAGATAGTTAATTATTTAAGTCAAATATATTTCGCGCATTCATTCCTTTTATATATAGACTATAATTTAATAAAAAAAGATTTTGTTATTTTTAGTTAAACTTAATTTCTGTTGCTTCTCCGCGCTCGTCCGCCGCATTCTTTCTCTCCTCCAACCAGCTCTCGCGGTTAGTGTTTGTGACACCAGTCCCGGTGTTTCTTCAGTTACTTGTGCTATTTCTCGATGTTGAGAGTTTGGTGTCGCACATAGATTGCAATTGACTATGCCTTCTTCTTGTCATTTTCTCTGCTGAACTGAAAATAATGTGAGTTTGTCCGTGTCACAGATGTAGAATCCTTCTCTGCAGTCATCTCAACCATGGAATTCCAGCAGCAGGAAATAGACAAACTATTTTACCCAAGGAATTTTTTTCTCTGGTGCTGTTTTGCGGTGTTGGTAAATTCACCACTTAATTTTGAGTTAAAATATGTTGTTGTAACGTGCGTTACAGAGATTGTAAGGAGTATAATATTACCCAAATTTTATTAGTAATGTGTTATATTACTGCGTTACAGGAAAAAGTAATATACTACTGTAATGTCATTACTTTTGTAACCCCTTACTCCCAACACTGTCTGTCAAAGTGTGTTGCAAGGCCTGTTTGACACTTGGTTTGCGTGCAAATGATCTAGCAGGTTTTCTTTTTTTTCTTTTTTTTTTTTCAGTTGTTGCATTATAGTCTGCCCAAATTCAGTCACACTTTATTATTATTATTATTATTATTACCATAATGGTTGTAGGTTTTGAAATTTAAAAAAAGGTTTTGAAGTTTTAAAAACATAAAATAATTATAATTATAATATGATTTTAATAATTAATGTTTAAAACAACATATTAAAAGAATGTTTTCAAAATATTGACATAATAATAATAATAATAATGTTATTAAAATGAATAGTAATAGTAATACTAATATGAATAGTAGTAGTAGAAGTAGTAGCAGAAATACGCCTAGTAGTATGTGTTACAAACTGGTTGAGGTACTGGAGTGAGGATGTTCATTCTCCAGGCTGATGAGTATAGACTGCTCTTATAACACCATCAGCATCTAGTGGACACTGAATGATTCGTTACAGTCAAAGTCGTTACAGTCAAGAGAAGCCACAGGATGAGACACTGAATCATCTGAAGCGAGTTCGCAGTCAGTAAAGCAAACATTAGAGCACAAATGAACAACAGCGCTGAATGAACTGAAAGCTACTTTTTGAGAGATAACTGGGGTAATTCAGATTGTGTCGCTGATTAATCTGCTATTCACATTCAGTTGTTTTCCTATGTGAACGTGCTATATGGATGTCTTTGACCATTTTGTTGCTTTTCTGCATTTTCATGTTTTAAAATATGTCTAGAAACACTGATCGTTTAGGCTAATGATTACATGAATGCTAGACACACTCAATAAAAATCAGAGCGCAAATGCACATATTTAGCCAGACTCAACTTCTGTTGAAGATCATATGTCTAAAGAAATGCATTTATCTTTACACATTCTCCTACTAAACTGTTGGTGATGTATGAACAGAGGCGGACAAAGTACTCAACTCCATTACTTGAGTGAAAGTAAATACACTGACTAGCTTATAGTATATTTGGAATAAAGGGCTTTTAGAATGTTAAAAACCTATGGGGGGAAAAACAAAACAAAACAAATTTAACACCCCTATCCACCCCCACAAAAGCAGGATGGCAGTGATCTCACACAGCTCTGACATCTACATGTAGCCATTCATCCACATTTGAACAGAGTGGACAGTGAAATCCTGTAAATACAGAGTGATAAGGAAGAAAAAAAATCAAACCTGCTTTAAAACCCAGTAACATAACTGTAGCTGTATAACTTTACAACAGCAACACTGCTTTAACAAAAAAGCAAAGCAGCAAGACTTATTTGACATCAAAAATTTTAAATGCTGTATAATCGCTCTCGCAGTATTTTGACACACAGAACGGTCTGTGCAGTGCTGCTTCAAGTCCAACACATATTGTGTTTTATCACTGTCCGCCTCTGTGTATGAAGTCTATTTCACACATCTTTCATGCACTTTGTTTTGGTCACGTGTTGCATGCTAAATGAGCTAAAAAATACAGTCAAAATGTTTTGTTAAGGGGGCGCTAGAGAGCACCATATGGTGTGGACGTAAGTTTAGAGAGCTCCTTCAAAGCCTCTTTAAATTCTTTTATTTCTGACTATTTTCATTGCGAAAGTCTGCTCAATAATATCTACCAGTGAAATGAAGAAGGCTAAGTCCAAGAAAGGTGATTCACCAACCAGCGCAGGTGAAGAAATGGCCGAGAATTCGTCGTCTAATGAATGCGAGGCTGATGGTGATGTTCGCACGGCCCCAGACTCAACTGCAATTATGTCGGCCATTCAAACTATGAATAACAATATTAATGACAGATTTAACTCCCTGGAAGCGACTCTATCCCATTTGCAATCAGCACTTTCTGAAACCACCTCGCGTATCACGGATCTTGAAGATGTTAACGCCAAGCATGAAAGCCGCATTTCTGATCTCGAGTGCTCTCTGAAGGAAATTCTAGCGACTAATAAGGCCTTGCGTGCTAAACTGGATGATCTCGAGGGACGTTCTCGACGACAGAATATCAAAATTGTCGGCCTACCCGAGAACATGGAAGCTGGCCGCCCAATTGAGTTTGTGGAAAAACTCATCCCGAACCTCCTGGGAACCGAGAACTTTCCTGGAGGGATTAAAGTTGACCGCGCACACCGTACCGGCCCTTTACCATCAAAAGGAGGGCGTCCACGAATCATGATCGCGAGGATACATCATTATCCGGTCAAAGAGATGATACTAAGGCTCGCGCGGCAACATACGCCTTTAAAATACGAGGAAGCGCACGTCTCCATCTTCCCAGATTTCACGGCAGAGGTGCTATCACAGCGAAAGGCGTTTGACGGAGTGAAAAAGAAGTTGAAGGAGGCTAGTATCCATTTCGGATTGCTTATTATCACCCAAGGCAATAAAAAGAAAATCTTTGGTTCGGTGTCGGAGGTTGAAGATTTTGTGAATTCCATCGCAGAAGAGCCTTCCTGATCTGCAGTTAAGGATTGATTCTTGACGTGACTATGGTTGAAAGACTTGAATTCTCTCTGTTCACTGGTGGCCTTTTTTGGAGGTCGTGAGTATATCTTCAATCGAAAAAAGACACTCATAGACTGTTAACGGTCATGTTACTCTAACAGGTATAGGCTGAATGTAGTTAAATAATTGTAACTATTTGAGCGTTATTTGCATGTAAATGTTGAGCCTTTCAGATATTTGTATGAATAGTTCATGTTTTATATCTTTGTTACAAGGGGTTTGTGCTAAACTCACTGTAGTTCAGGTTTATAGAGCAGTTATTTTGTTAATCATCACTCTATTTGTATGGAGGCTGCGAGGGAGTCCTTTGTTTTTCTTTATTTAAGGTTATTTGATAGACCGGTTTTTCTTTCACTCCTTATGCTGCCCGGCAGCTCCACTGTTCGTATGAGGTTATCTTCTCGGCTTCGTTTGGGGAAGCTGACAAAAGGGGAAGGGTGGGTGGTCTTGTCTTTATTTTTCGTTGTGTGTTTAGTGTTTTATGCCTGCATATCTCCTTCTCTGATTAATATTCATTCAATCTCTTTTGCAGCAGCCACTACTTTAGTTAATATACATCATGGCTTGTAGTAGGGGGCCCTTATCTAAAGGTGTCAATGTCACTCTTGCCAGTTGGAACGTCCGTGGATTAAACGATCAGATTAAGAGAGCTAAAGTTTTTTCTTATTTGAAGTCTATCGCTGCTGACATATTATTTTTGCAAGAGACACATATAAGGCATTCTGAACAAAGGCGACTGAGATGCAGTTGGATCTCTCAGGTGTTCCAGTCTTCTTTTTCATCCAGGGCCAGAGGAGTAGCTATTTTGGTCCGTAAATCGGTCCCTTTCAAGCACATATCTACGATCAGCCACCCTAATGGCCGTTATGTAATTGTATCTGGCCTGCTTTCCTCAATTCAAGTCACATTGCTGAATGTGTATGGACCTAATTTTGATGACCCCGCTTTTTTTCGCAAAGTTTTTAATCTTTTACCAACCACTCTAAACTCGCACCTTATAATAGGCGGTGATTTCAACGTAGTTTTAGACCCTGCTCTAGACAGATTTCCATCACGCTCTGACATATCCTTGCCCAATTCCACTGTCGTTCTTAATGATCTTATTAATTCTTTTGACCTTGTTGATATCTGGAGATTAAAAAATCCAACGGACAAACAGTACACTTTTTTCTCGCAAGTTCATAAATCATACTCCAGGATCGATTTCTTTTTAGTTGATTCTAAAATTATCCCCTGTGTTAAATCAATGAAACATTTCTTTAATTTCCGTGTCAATCTTAATATGCTTAGATTTTTTCTTTCTAAATTTCATTTCAATATTTGACTTTCTTTTCCTCAATTATTTGTCAAAACTAGCGACAATGTTGACACTGCTGCAAATCTATTCGCTCTCTGTTACTATGGTCATTTTCCTTAAGTAATGCCCTTGTGAGGTAAAAAGGCCTAGGTTGTTACCTATTATTATTATTATTATTTTATAATTGTTATTA